GTGTGTTTGTGTTTCTAATTTTATTCAAGAAAATAAAAAACAGTAAAATAAAAAAAATATATAAATTCAAGGGTACAATGAAAGGAAAAATTTTCCATTTTTTACTCGATTGATAAAAACTGGAGGGCGGAAATGTTTCTCTATTGACGTCTTTGTGAGTGATTTTAGTTTCGCCTTACTCTCTGTGTGTCTGGTTTTGTCTCTCTGTTTTTGCTGCTTGCTTTTGTCCTGTTCTAATTTTTTTGTAATGTTTTTGTTAAATTTAAATAATTTCTACATAATTGTCATTATCATTATAATTATAATCATTATTATTATTATTATTGTTGTTGTTGTTGTTGTTGAATGGTTTTACAGTGTTTTCTATAGAATCTGTGTTGGTTTTAACAGCAGTGATATTACGGTTGTTGATATTATTGTCTGTTATAATTTTGTTGTTGTTTCCGGTGTTATTATTATTAGTTGTAGAAATAGTAGTAGTAGTAGTAGTAGTAGTAGTAGTAGTAGTAGTAGTAATAATAGTAGTAGTAGAAGTTGTAATAGTTATAGTAGAGGTAGTATCTTTGTAAATGTTACTGGCAGCATTATTATCATCATGGATGATGTTGTCATTCTTATGTGTGTTGTTGCTACTATTTTTTGTGTTGTTGTTGCTGTTATTGATGTTACTACTATTAGTGTTGTTGCTGTTGGTGTCATTAGAATTAGTTTTGTTGTTGTTGATGTTGTTGTTGTTGTTGATGTTGTTGTTGTTGATGTTGTTGTTGATGTTACTGTTATTGATGTTGTTGTTGTTGCCGTTGTTGATGTTGCTGTTGATATTGTTGTTGATGTTGTTGTTGTTAATATTGTTGATGTTGTTGTTGTTTTCAATATTATTGATGTTGTTGTAATTGTTGTTGTATTCGAGGCAAGTACTGCACTCCTCTTGCATCCTTGTAACACCGGTCATGCATGGCTGATACCTATACACGGTTGGTCGAACGAACGCTATTGATTTGTTGCTACTGATGTTGTTGTTGATGTATTTTTTGTTGATGTATTTGATGTTGTTGTTGTTGTTGAAATAGTCGTTGTTATCGTTTGGGTTGTTGTGGTTGTTGTTTATTGAGCATGCGTTCGTTAGAAGATAGCTGATAGGTATGCATTTGAGATAATGTTGTTGCGTGTGGTTATCGACGTAAGATATTCTGTCGCTGACGTTTTTGTTGCTGCTGTGGTTGTTGTGGTTGACGGGGTTGTTGTTGGGAGATTTTCCAATGTAAGATATGGTGATGTTGTTTGAATTTTTGTAGTTGAGCGTGTCGTCGTCGTAATCGCTACAGAAAAAATCGTCGTCGCAATTATTTTCGTCGTCGTCGTTGGTGTGGCTGTTGCGGCTGAATCTGTTGAAGTCGTTGGCAGTTTTGCTGCTGTTAGTGGTTGACTTTTCTTGATATGTCGTGTCTGAAGTTTGGGCGATTTCGTAGCCGCCTGGTGTTAAAAGTTGAAGTGAATTTTTTTTTGAAATTTTGATCTGGTAAAGTTAGTAAAATTGTTGCTATTTATAGCAATCGATGCAGATGTTAGTATATTTCAATTTGCATCCATTATCATCCAACCTCATTAACAACCTCACTCACGTAATCACCCATGTTATATTATCACCTACATTCCAACTCATCTGATCATTCTTCCATATTATTTGTTGCATAGACGTGTTGAAAAAAGTGTCACAAATTCAATGCCTCTCAAACACATGCCTTCTCAAAAAAATTATCGCCATTATCATCATCACCATCATCATCACCATAATCATCACCATCATCATCATCCTCATTATCATCAACATCACCATCACTCCTCACAGCTGTCATAGCATGACATGCAGCAAGATTTGACGCGCCCATCCGAGTCGCTGAAGCGATAAATGTTTCTGTCGATCGAATTTGTCACGTGATTTCCGGAAGCAGCAGACGACTTCCGGCAGAGGATGTCGGATCTAAAACCGCAGCAGCACACAAACCATAAAGTAAAGATGACTACCGGAAGTAATATGGCCGTTAAGATAGCTTCCGAGGTTGAGAACAATGACAGGATGAAACCTCTGTGTATGTTTTGTCATAAAATTCACAAAAATAGAAAATTTTTTTTGTCATTTTATAATCATGCCATAAGAATTATATTATCATCACCACCGTCTTTGTCATCATCATCAGCATCGTTGTCTTCGTCATCATCGTCTCCACAACCATCATATCATTATCAACATCGTCGTCCTAATCAAAATTGCGCAATATGATTGATTGACGGACGGAGTTCAGAGGTCAGCGCAAGGAAACAAAAATATTGACGGCTCGTTTAGAGTTAAAAAATCAAAGAGGGGTGGAGATAAAATGGAAAAATTTATAAATGAAACATGAGAGAGAGAGAGAGAGAGAGAGAGAGAGAGAGAGAGAGAGAGGTAAAAAGAAAAAAGAAAGAGAGTGAGAGAGAGAAAAAGTGAGAAAGAGGGATGGAGACACAGACAAACAAACAAACATATTCAGAAAGAGAAAAATTGAGAGAGACAGAAAGAGAAAAATAGAGACAGACAGAGAGAGAGAGAAAGAAAAAGAGAAAGAAAAAGAGAGAGAGAGAGAAAAAAAGATTGATGCCAAAAACGGTGAAATAAGCAGGTTGAAAAGTATGAGAAATTAAAATGCATACACGGATGAAAAAAATGAAAAAAAAAGAAAAATAGATTGAAAGAAAGAGAATTAGAGAGATAGAAAGAGAGAGAGAGAGAGAAAGAGAATAAGAGAGAGAGAGAAAGAAAGAAATAATGAGAGTAAGATGAGAAGAGTAGATTCAAGTGAACGCGGCGCGTGACATTTCTTCATTAAAACTGACCACCAATCATTGTTGCGAGTGCTTATTATATTTATATTATCCGGATTATTATTATTATTATTTTTATTATTATTATTATTATTATTATTTTTATTATTATTATTATTATTATTATTATTATATTTTGTTACTCCTATAATTCTTATTATCATTATTGCTATTATTTGTATTATTATTTTTGAAAATTATTTTTAACCGTGATTTTTTTTTCATTTAAGATTTAATCTTTCTTTAGTTTGGTTTTATTTATTATTTTTTCTTATGTTTTTTTTATCATTAATTTTGCTGCTGCAAAAATAATATTATAATTAATAACAGTAATAATAATAATAATAATTTTAGGAATAACAAAATATAATGATAATAATAATCCAGATAATATAAATAATAATAATGCTGGTACTACTGCCATGTGGTTTTTTTTATTTCTTATTTTTCTTCCGTGTTCAACTATTTTCCCCTCTCGAAGAAATTTTTTCTCTCCATATATTTCTCGGTCCTGATTGCATCACGGCATGTATGGCGGTCATTTGCCGGTCAGTTTATAAGCCGTAGTGGGCAGATGAAAAGATGTTGTTATTGTTATCATCATCATCATCATTATTTATTATTGTTGTTATTATTATTGATACTATTATTATTATATTATAATAAATAATAAAAAAAACAACATCAACATCATGACCAACTTCACTCCAAACCTGTCACCATCTTCATACTCGTCATCAAAGGTATCCTTAATTTCTTCGCACCGGAAGTAATCCCAGTTCTGATGATATCTGGATGGATGGTTGGATGGATGAATGGATGGATGGATGGATGAATGGATAGATGGATGAATGGATAAACGGATTGATAAATACGTAAAAAGATGAATCATTTGATTGACGAGTTAATGTTGAAGTTTAACCAAAATACACAGTCACGAATACAACAATAAAGAATCGAGCCATTAAATAACGTTCAAGTTTATGAAAAAACGCAGTTGGAAACCAACAAATACACACAAACAGAACCAACAAACATCACAGACATACAAACATACAGACAGTTGAACACAAACAAACACAGACAACCAAACAAACAAACAGACATACAAACACCAGACAAACAAACAGACAGGACATACAACAGATAGGACATACAAACAAACAGACATACAAACAACCAGACAAACAAACAAACAGATAGACATACAAACAGACCGGGCATACAAACAGTCAGACAAACAAACAGACAGATAAACAAACAGATATACAAACAAACCAACCTGCAGCACATAGACGCCCTGGCCTGTTTGCAGCAGCAATGATCGAACCCAGGCGAATAATTTAAAATTCTGCAGACGTGTGTGTAATGCATGTATTGCTTGGCACTACAGTTTCCCCATTGTGTTGGTTGTCGAATGTGATAATGTTGTTGCTGATGTTGTTGCTGCAGATGTTGTTGTTGTTGTTGTTGCTGCTGCTGATGTTGTTGTTGTTGTTGATCCGGTGTTGATAATTGTTGATAGAGTTTGTTATTGTTGTTGTTGTCTTGGTGAAAATATTTAGCGCTAGATGATTCTTCGTGAGTTGCTGTTGTTGGTTATTGTTGTTGGTTGTTGTTGTTTGTGGAATGATTTTTCGTTGTTTAAGAGAAAAATTTGAAAAATGTATCGATTATAGAATAATGAGCCTTTGATTTGTGTTTATGGCCTCTTGTGATTTGAAGTGAACTGCTTACATCACAACAAATGCATTTTAATCGAGTTGACAGGATGCTCATATAACAAACTTAACCAAATAACCCAAATAACCATTACTAGTCTTTGAATAACATGAAGGAAGTAACACAAAATCAACAACAACAAAAACTACAACAACAACAACAACAACAGCAACAACAAAATAACTAAAACAAGATCCGAACGGCATCAAAGAAAACCATTCAGCCATCATTAACATCACATAAAAATCGTTTAATAACAACACTCAAACAACTAAACAACATTCACTTTGGTGGCTACTACAACATACAAAGTCGGATAAACGTTCAAGCATAAAATATAGCCTACAATCATCAACATACAATTATCAACGACAAACAAACATACAACAACTAAATACAAACGTCAACAACATTCAAACAGTGACATACAAACGACATACATACAAACAAAAAAACTTAGCAACAATAACATACCAGATTAGAAAAAATGCAACCATTAAAAATATACAAACAACAACATACAAACATTCAAAAACTACATGCAAATATACAACAACTACATGAAAATGTCAACAACAT